ATTGGTTGGAGGTTGTAGTCCCAATATTCTATCTATAATTTGATCTGGGACTTGCCTTCCTTCTGCTGTGATCAAAACCCCTAAAAATTTTACTGTTTGATCTGGTCCCTGTACTTTCTCTCCATCCTTTTGCTATCAAGTATTACTTCCTCTGACATTTCATGCAAATCTTGTTATCATATCCTGTTATTAGTATATCATCTACATATGTATATACTGAGACATCCTTAATTTTAAGATCCTTAAGGGATTCTGATAGTGCAATATGAGCTGTTAGTGGTCTATTTTTATAGCCTTGTGGTAATCTTTTGAATATTTTGTGATATTGCACAGAATTCCATGTAAATGTGGTCATCTCCCTGGATTCTTCTGCTATAGGGATGGCAAAGAACATATCTGAGAAGTCTATAGTTACAAAAAATTTAAAATTGTTGGAGTGTACATGTTGTAATATTGTGGTAATGCCTGGCAGGTCTCCTGGCATCTGTGGTGTCAGTGCATTGACTGCTCTATAATCTACTGTAAATCTCTATTTACCATTAGGTTTTAAAAACAGACCAAATTGGGCTATTTTAGTCAAATAAAATAGTTCTTTCTATGATGTCTTCCCTCAACAATTCTTCAATTTTATTGGTTATTTCAGTGTGTCCTCCTTTTTTTGGGTATTGTTTTGTAAAGCTATATTTAATTTTAGGGAGTACTATGGGGTCCATCAGTAATGAAGCTAGATGTGCCTGAGACTTAGTCATAATATTTTAAAACTTTCTGTAAGTTATCCATGATGGGAAAATTCTGGGTATAAGATCCATCCCTAGAACCTTAAAAGGTATTTCATCTAAAAGTATCTTGGTTTTAAAGACTTCTCTGTCCCATAAAGGGATAGTTACATTTTTCCATTTTGTATTAATTTCTATATTCTCTACTCCTATTAAATGATACCCCCAAAATAGTTACTTGGCTTCCTATATCTATTAGGAATTTATGTGTTTCTATTTTTCCTTTTTTTTTCTGTGAGTATTAAGGGTAAATCTATATATATTTTATTATCCCCAGGCTGTTCTAATATAAAAAATACTGTCTTGACTCCTGAGTTTCCCTGCTGTTGAATGTCATGTTCCTGTTGTAAATTGGTGAATTTGTGTGTCTGAAGTTGCTGTTGTGTTTGGGGAAGTTGTTGTTTTGTGTCCTTTGTCTGTTGTTTGATGTGGGTCATCTGTTCGAAGGGAATCTGTCTCCTGACTGGGATTTCTGTCCTTGTCCTCTAAATGGTGTACTGCTCCTGGGCCTCCTGGGTATGGAACTCCTCCCTCATAGGGCCCTTTGTCTGGGAGGCTCCGTATTTACCCAAGGCTGCCTTTGCTCTCTGTTGTAAGAAATCTAATTTTGTTTTGTGAGGACTGAGCTGGAAAACTGAACTGGTGTGGTGAGGGCTGAGCTGGAAAACTGCACTGGTATGGTGAGGGCTGAGTTGGGAAAGAAAAAGATCTGACACCATCCAGCTCATTGGCTTCTTTAAAAGAAGTAACTACATCTTGTAATATATGCATGCCTTCTTGTGCTGATGTTAAAGTTAGTTTGAGATGAGGTGGACCACCTCTAATTATTAGTCTTTTCATCTGAGGTAACAGCTCTGCCTGTAATGGCATGTTACATGTATGTATATTGTATATCATAAAGTATATTCTTAATTTCCTAGTTAATTTAATAGCCTGTTGGTGTGTAGTCCATTGTATCTGTGATTCAACACTGCCTACATCCATCACAGGAAATGCCCTCACCCATACTAATGCTACCCATTCCAGGACAGTGTGTTCCTGCAATCTTTTCTTACTAGTGTCAGCCACTAAAGCCTCATATATAGATTAATTTTCTACTATAGAGGTTATTATATGCATTTCACCTCCATTAACTCTAATTGCGTGGGCTCCATGCTCCAAAAGTCTTAGTAGAGATTCTATATCTTGCTCCCCATCTGGGCAGATTCATTCTTTAACTGATGCAGCTCTATTCTACTAAAAGTTCTCACTTCAACTTCCTCTTCATTACCACTATCTTTTGACCCCCTTTTCCTTGGTGTTCTGGTCATTTTTCGTGTAGTTACCGGTAAAACTTCCCGATTATCTGGGTGAGTTTTCTGTCTATCCAGGGCCTTTCTTACAAAGGTTTCACCTTTGGTCCTGTCTTCATCTGTCATTAACAGTTTTAACTAGCAATCCCAGGATTTCTTTTGAAGTGGCTCTAGCAATGATTGGCTGATCTACCTCTGGGTGGGATGGAGGATATCAATTCCTTTAGTTACCTTGTTAAATCCTGGCAGTTTCCCTTGCATTGTTCTTTCTAGTTCTCTACAGGGACTAGCAGAACTAAGTTCCTGGTTACTTTCTTTCTTTTTAAAGATGTTATTGAATTTCCTCATTTTTCCAATATGCTGTAGACTAATTTAATATACTTTTCTCTACAAAACCACACAAAAGATGTATCTGTCTCTATATGCTGTAGTGCTTTTGCAATTTGATTTTCTAGGTGTCTGTGTAAGCACTTCTCTATCCAGTTTCTGTGTTATTGAATATATCTGTCTAGGAAGCAAATTGTGTAATTTGCTATATGATGGTGTATCTGTGTGGTGTTATTACCAATTTGATATATGTCTTTGCAGAGGTGTAATGTCCTGTTAGGTTTATTGCTATGATTACCAATGTAAGTATTATAACAAGTTTCACTGTGTTTAGAAAAAGCTTCTGAATTTTATATGTGGTTGTCACACAGGCAGGACAAGACATTTCTCCCAGACATTTTGTTTCCTTGATTGCCGACTAAGCCAACTGTCGCTATGGCAAAAGGTGTGGCTTATGCAGACAAGGGGGAGAAATAAAGAATGTCCACACACTTCCGCCTTTGTCAATGCTTTATTCTCTCAAATCACTCAATACAATTTCACTCTATAGGTTCTTAAGGAAATGACAATCCTTAATGCTAGACACTGCAATAGACACAATCAATTCACAGCAAATAACTCTATATTAATTCTAACCACTGCAAACACACTTAATCATGACAGGCTCATGACAGACATTCCCTCTGCATGCTAAGCTCAAGGGTCAGGTCATAAGTCTCAAGCCTTAGGCTCTAAGTCCAGCAGATGAACACTTACTCAGGCCATGGTGATCAGATCAGGAACCAAGGCAGGCTTCTCTTGGGGTGGAGCTGAGGCTGGCTGAGGAGGTGGTCATAGGGAAAAGTCCTTTTCTCACCAGAGTCAAGAGACTGCTGTAGAGTTTGAGAGCAGGGAGAGCAATGCAGAAGGGATCAGGCAGATGAGGAGGGTTTGGGTTTTCGTTCCGGTTTTTCTTCGGTTTTTCGGGTTTTTTTTTTTCGTTTTTGGTTGGTTGATTTTTTGTTCATCTGCTCCATCATTATACTAAATTTTGGGGCTTCTGACCACCCTTTCAATCCCTATCAGCTGCTATCATTCATCCTCAGGTTAAAGCATCTGGTCTAGTGGTCTCCACCCTGATTTTCTTGCCTTTCTCCCTTATCAGGGTGAGGACAACATGCCAGAGACTTCACTCTGAGTCTGTCAGGGTGGGGAGAAGTGACTTGTTTGTGTCTGAGGGCCATACTGGAGGGCTCCATGAGGCATGGCTGGTGAGACTGCAGGTTTTAATCTGGAGTTTTAAAATGGAGTTGCTTAGGCTTGGGCCTAAGGCCATCCTCACAAAAATGAATATTTTGTTAGTGAAAACTGTACTTTTAGTACAGTAAGGAAAATAAGTCTATTTTACATCTTTTGAGTTTGGGAACTAGCTTCTAAGCTACCATTTCAGGTAAAAAACCAAGGAAAGACATTCCACCAGGGCCTCCCTGGACTCTAAGCTAAAAATATATATATATTTTTTTTGTGGGAGGCCACCCCTCAGCTATTATAGATAGCATCTTCACTCAGCCTTGATCCAAGAAGGTTTTGATCTGGCATTACCCTGGGGCTCTTCTCACTCTGCCTGATGCAGGTGATCACTGCCTTCCCTTGGCTAGGAAGTCTGCTTTCTCATAGCTTTCTCCAGAGTTTCTCTGCCTGATTTGGTGAAGAATATATTCTATGGAAAAGTGTTTTGTGTATCCCCCATATAAAAATAAACCAGACGTAGGGCTGGGGTTGTGGCTCAGCAGTAGAGTGCTCA